AGCAATGCATTTCAATAAGAGCAATTCATACCAGCAGTGTGTTGTGCGCTACACTGCTCTGAAGAAAAAAAAAAAAAAAAATTTAAACATGCCTTGATTTTTTTTTTTCCTTCTCTCCTTTGGATGCAACGCACATAAAGCGCAAGAGTCAATATAGTCACTTGAACTTTTCCTTACAAATAAAGCTTTAGGCAGTTAGAAAAAAAATGTAAGGTATTGCAGCACATTTTTAGGCCTCATGCACACATTTTTGTACTTTCAGCCACTTTGGGGGCGACGGGCGTTTGGTTCTCTCTCCTACTACTTCAAGACAGCCTTCCATGTTATCCTATGTGTCCATGCACACAATGACTTTTAGAAACAGGGCCAGTGATTCCAGGAGCAGCAGAGTTTTGGCAGAAAAATATAACGATTGACACAGCTAAATGCCAAGCGTGTTTAGCGCTTGAGCATTAATTCATTTCAATGGTCAGATTCAAATTGAGACTTGCAAACACACCTCAAGGCTTATATATAAAAAAAAAAAAAAAGTGACACTTTTACAAACCTCGGGCATTTTTTTTCTGCAAAAATGCTGCTGCCAGGATGCGTTTTTTTTTTTTTTTTTTTATTACACACATCCTGTGTGCGTGAGGCCTAAACATTGCACAACACAGAATGCAAGTACATGCCAACACAGGTGCGCTCACATGTTCCCAATACACACACTGCAGTTTAAATGGACCCTTACCCTAGGTTCACATCTAAGCGGTTTCTGCAGTGTTTTGCAGAAATGCAGTACAGTCTATTTAACATGATTTCCTAAGGGACATGTTTACATCTGTGCGTATTCACAGTGAGTTTTTTTGGAAGGGGTCAAGGACTTTTTTGAACACAAAAAGTTGCATTTGTTTCTATAGACTTCAATGGAAACACCGTAGAAAAGCATTATTGCATTTTGCATATGCATTTTGAATCTGCCTAGCAACAAGAAAAAAAAAAAAAAAAAAACATAAAAAAAAAAAAAAAAAACACAAGAGCAAAACGCAATGTAGAAACAGCTCAAATACTACCTGCATAGATGTGAACCAAGCCTTAGGGCTCGTTCATACTTGACCGGGGCAGACTGACCATTTGGAAACTCTGGCACTGCCCGAGGGCCTGGGTTCAGTAGGGGGCCCCATGAGATGCCCCTGGTACCTTTTTCATGGGCTTTTTTGAGTTTGGGCAAGGACACAGGGGCCCCATGATCCCCTATTGCCCAGGGGCCCCATGAGTTGTCAGTCCGCCCCTACACTTGACTTTACTTCTAACTCTTGCCAGATGCCCTTATAGCATTTGACAGGAGTTAGGTGTTTGGGAAGCATTTTTAACACTCCTCAAAAACCCTATGCGCAGTTTTGAGGAGGTTTGCCAAGCGTTAAAACTGCACCACAAACACCTATAATAAAGTTAAATGGTATTAATGCCTCACAACCACGTGCCAAGCACTTGAGGAGCAGCACCATAGACTTAAATGGGAGGCTTCAACTCCTGACTGGACATGAGGCGTCAGTTTTGCCACGACGCTGCCAGGTGCAGAATTTTCATAGGTGTTTGAGACGCATTAAAAACACTTCCCAAATGCCTGACACCTACTGACAAAGCTAGTGTGAACGTAGCCTTAGGCTGGTCATACATTATACAGTTTTCTTTTAGATTTACCAAAACCATATAATTTGAGGTCAAACCTAAATACTTTCAATTTGTATGCAGACAGGCCCTTGCACTTTATATTTGAAGATAACTCTAAAGGAAATTGAATAAGAAACTTGTATACGGTAAAACCAGCTTTACTCTTCCAAGCTGCACCGCATACCTTCATATCCCCTGATGTCTTTTCCTCTTCAGAAGATAGATCACAGGTGGAGGAATAAACCCTTATAACATCTAGGTGTGTCCTCTGCTCTCACTGATCAAAACAAAACCCGACCCGGAAATCTGTAGACACCATGCTGGATTGGGGCACGTGGAACACAAGAGAGAATGTGACAGTGAGTCTCGGTTTCACACTACTTATGCAGGCCATAAACAGGTCAAAAATTGTCCGAAAAAAAAAATCGGCCAATTTTCACATCGTTAGTGGGTTAATTGGTCGGCCATTTTTTCAGGGTTTTGGCACATTTTTTTATTGGTCAAGTTGGAAAATTTGCTGCCGATTTTAAAAATCAGACGATTTTCCTGGCAATGATGGGCAAATCGGCCGATCGTTTTACCGATAAAAAATCTGCACATAAGCCGTGACCTGCAAAAAGAAGAAAAGAAAAGAAGAAGAGGAAAAAGAAGAAGAGAAAAAGAAGAAGCAGAAAAAGAAGAAAAAAAAGAATTCCAGTCCGCTATTATATTTTATATGAAAAGTATTGCGGTTGCAACATTGTATCCATTTGTATCTGAATAAAAACATCTGTATCCGAAATGGATACAAATGGATACATTGTTGCAACAGCAATACTTTTTCATGTTAAATATAATAGCGGAGCTTTCTGCAGGGACAGAAGTAATTAAATGCCAGCCGTAGACGGGACAAAAATCGGCCGATTTTTTTACCGTTGGTGGTAACGTCGGTCGATTGAACGACCGATTTTTCATTTTTTTTAATAAAAAAACAGCCGGTTTCCGACCCGTCTATGGCCTGCATATGACCTGAAAGTCGTGTGACTTAGACATGCAACTTGAGTACTACTTTGAAGCAACTTTCAGGGAATTCCTGGGCAATCTTCCTGTAATGTCAGATCCAAATCACATCCATATAGATGAGGACCCAACTTGGAGGCGACTTCCATTAAAGTCTACGGGCACAAGTCGGATAGAAGTCACCTTGAAGTAATACAGAAATCTTTTCTAAAGTCGGAGCGACTTCAGTAGTGCTAATTAAGACAGCTCTCATTGACTAACTCTAATGCAGGCCATAGATGGGTCGAAAATCGGCCGATTTTTCAGCCAAAAATAAAATCGGCCGATTTTTGGATCGTTAGTGGGTTAATAGGTCAGCCGTTTTCGGCAGATTTTTTTTATCGGTAAAGCTTGAAAAAAATCGGCCGATTTTGCCGATAAAAAAATCTGCGCATAAGCAGTGACCTGCAAGAGGAAGACAAAAAGATGAAGAAGAAGAAGAAGATGAAGAAGAAGAGGATGAAGAAGAAGATGAAGAAGAAGAGGATGAAGAAGAGGATGAAGAAGAAGAAGAGGAAGAAGAAGAAGAGGATGAAGAAGAAGAAGAGGATGAAGAAGAGGATGAAGAGGAAGGAAGACGAAGAGGATGACGAAGAAGAAGAGGATGAAGAAGAAGAATAATTCCAGTCCGGCAAAAGTGTCCCTGCAGAGAGCTCCGCTATTGCTTTGACAGTTCCTTGACATTTATAGCGGTTGCAACAATGTATCTAGTTGTTTCCGAATAAAAACATCTGTATCCAAAATGGATACAAATAGATACAATGTTGCAGCCGCTATAAATGTCAAAGAAATAGCGGAGCTCTCTGCAGAGACACTTTTTGCCGGCTGTAGACGGGATGAAAATTGGCCGATTTTTTTTTACCGTTCCTGGTAACGTCGGCCGATTGAACGACCGATTTTTTGTTTTTTTAAAGAAAAATCGGCCGGTTTTCTCCCCATCTATGGCCTGCATTAGGTTCACACCTATGCAGGTTGCATTAGAGCCGTTTCTGCGTTGCGTTTTGCATTGCGTTTTTTTTGCACATGCGTTTTTTACGCGTTTTTGATGCATTTTGTTTGTTTTTTTTCTTTGTTGCTAGCAGATTTAAAACACATCAAAAACACAACAAAAATGCACTACATGCTTTTCTGCAACTTTTCCATTGAAGTCTATAGAATGAAAAACGCAACTTTTTGCATCAAAAAAGCCACTGACCCTTTCCCAAAAAATGCACCGGGTGAAAACGAGCAGATGTGAACGTGTCCCATAGGAAATCATGTTAAATGGACTGTAGTGCGTTTTTGCAAAATGCTGCGGAAAACACTTAAATGTGTACCTAGACTGAGTCCGCTTTCAGCCCTGGTTCACATTAATGCTGTGCAGAATATGCAGCATTTTCAGTGCGAATTCCGCATCACAATCGCACCCCGTTCATACGAACCGATGCAAGTGTGTATGTTAACAACACCCTGACATCGGTCCGCAAAACACGGTGTGATGTGCAGAATTGGATCACATAGGTGTGAATACCTATGCGAGCTGATTCTAGTGCAGACCTAAAAAGGGTCCTGCACGTTTTTGGTGTGGGTGCGGTGCCAATAGAGCCATACAAAATGTATGGCTCTAATCGCACCGCATAAAAATCGCATGTGATTTTTACAGGAATGTGCTGCGGTTCCTGTGCGAATCTCATGGGATTTATTGCACCGCTGTAGTATGAACCTAGGCACACATTGATGTGGTGTGGTATGACCACACGGTGGGAGCAGCACAGCTTACTTGTGCTGTTTCTCATAGATTTCTATTGTGCTTTGGTGCACTTTCAGAAAGCGCACCAAGCATGCGGTCAAAACGCACAGTGTCAATGTGCTAAAATTCAATGCAATATGGCAACTTGAAGACAGTGTACAGAATGTCGTTTCCTACTTGTATGATTGGCTGGTTTTCCCAGAAGTCTGCACTAAGATAGTAACATTTTAGGTAGTCCTTGCGATAGGAATTTTAGTTTTGGTGAGATACTCCCCAAGGGTTAATTACTTCTAAGGGGATACAGACCCTGCAAGTCTCCTTAAGCCCCGGTTCACATATATGCGGCCGCGCTGGCCACGTTTTGTGTGGGCATGAGAGCTCATTCATTTGAATGGACTCCCGTGCCCCGTACAGAAGAAGTCCCTGCACTTCTTTCGAAAATGCAGCCTGCACGTTTGCGTTTTCCTGTGCGTGCGACAGGCCATTAGAATTAATGGTACCCACCCGTGAGTCTGCATTTCTCTGTGCGGGTGGTGCAACTGGTGACAGCCGGGTGCCCACTGTGCATGCGCGAGAAGCGCTGCATTTTGTGAATGGCCTGGCGTCTTCTGGGACCTGTCATGTGTGCCACAAGATGCCGGGCCATTCACAAAGCGCAGTGCTTTTCGCACATGCGCAGTGGCCACCCAGCTGTCACAGCCGGGTGCCCACACTAAAGGGAGGACAACTCTGTGGAAGTGGGAGCGGGTACCTGTCAAATTCAGGTACCCGCTCCCCCTCCCTCCCAAAAGGTCCACAGTCTGGTCATCCCCTGTACTGTCTGCAGTCTCTTGGTCACCCCCTGTACTGTCTGCAGTCTCTGGTCACCCCCTGTACTGTGTCCGCAGTCTCTGGTCATCTCCTGTACTATGTCCGCAGTCTCTGGTCATCTCCTGTACTGTGTCCGCAGTCTCTGGTCATCTCCTGTACTGTGTCCGCAGTCTCTGGTCATCTCCTGTACTGTGTCCGCAGTCTCTGGTCATCTCCTGTACTGTGTCCGCAGTCTCTGGTCATCCCCTGTACTGTGTCTGCAGTCTCTGGTCATCTCCTGTACTGTGTCCGCAGTCTCTGGTCACCTCCTGTACTGTGTCCGCAGTCTCTGGTCATCTCCTGTACTGTGTCCGCAGTCTCTGGTCACCCCCTGTACTGTGTCGCAGTCTCTGGTCATCTCCTGTACTATGTCCGCAGTCTCTGGTCATCTCCTGTACTGTATCCGCAGTCTCTGGTTATCCCCTGTACTGTGTCCGCAGTCTCTGGTCATCTCCTGTACTGTGTCCGCAGTCTCTGGTCATCTCCTGTACTGTGTCCGCAGTCTCTGGTCATCTCCTGTACTATGTCCGCAGTCTCTGGTCATCTCCTGTACTATGTCCGCAGTCTCTGGGCATCTCCTGTACTATGTCTGTAGCCCATTGATTCAGAATATTTTTTTTTCTTGTTTTTCTCCTTTTTTCTATGGTCTGGTGCGTCTTATGGAGCAAAAAATAAGTTATATAATGTATGGCCAGCTTTACCTGTCATGATGTGCCCTCTCGCTGTCACTGACCCTGCAGGTCCCAGGCACTTCCAGCTTTGCCCCATCGTCCTTCCCGGTTCCGGCTGTTTAACCTGATGAATGGCTTGGTTGCAATGATGTCATTCCCGCCCACGAGAGTCACATTGCTACAGAACACGGAAGGTGCCATAAATGTATGCTGAGCCATGCATGTGCAGCTCAGTGTACATTACAGTTTATGGGCAGGGGGGAGCAATATAACAGAGACCAATAGGATCTTTTTGGTCGTAAAATCCCTGCCTGACAGCATGTTCATTTAGTCTAGGTTCACACCTAAGTGTTTTGCGTTGCATTTTGCAGAAACACACTATGGTCCATTTAACATGATTTCCTATGGGAAACATTCGCATCTCCGCGTTTTCCCCGGATGCATTTTTTGGAAAGCATCAGGGACTTTTTTTAAACGTAAAACGTTGCATTTTGGTTCCATAGACATCAATGGAGATGCTGCAGAAATGCATGTAGTACGTTTTTGACGCGTTTTTGCGGTTTAATCTGCCCAGCAGAAAGTTTGGGGGGAAAAAAAGCAAAACACATCAAAAATACATGTACAAAAAATGCAAAAAGCACTGCAGAAACGGATCAAACGCAAACTGCATAGGTGTGAACGTAGCCTTAATACTACTTTAAAATATGAATGCTGCCTGTCTATCATGCTGATCCAGTCATTTCAGTACTTTCTCAAGACCCCTAAATGTCCCAGATCCCACTGGATTGCCCATGTGTCTGAGCGGAACCCAGTGGTTCTGCTAGTCCAGAAAGCTGCCATGGAATCTTATTGGTGGCATTTATAGGGCTTCCCACTGATGCTGTAGCATTTTTCCCCCTGCCAACCACTGACTGGCATTTTTCCTCCAAATGATCTGTATTGTGGGGCATTTTTATTCTTATTGACCACCAATAAAGCAACCTGACTCCTAGTGACCGCCAACACTTTTGCAATCTTCCTCCTCATTTTTTTCTCTCATAGAGGGACACAGGAATCCTGAAACCTTTTGGTTACACTTTCACATACAGGAGGACTGAACATTGGCAAACAAAAAAACTGTAGGTCAGTTGTCAGTATAACTCCTCCTACTACCAACATGCCTCGTTTTTTTGCTAGTGCCCAAGGAGGTTGGACATATTTTTTTAAGCTCGGCTGATTCAAGTTTGAACATGCAACTTCTTATAGCAACTTTTCCTCTTTTATCAAGAATCTTCATCTTATAGCTGTAGGTGGTCTGCCCACCTTCTCGCGTATCCATGGCAAATGTCCTCAGCCTTTGCTTCTGGGCCCTTTTTTGACCAGACCCTGCTGAAATGGATGTTGTGGGGTGATCCCGGAATTGATCCCCAGGCCCTGGAGTCCCCCAGTAATAAAGTGGCAGGGTGGCAACCCTTACATACAGCCCCCCAGCTGACCTTATGGGACCATGGCACAGCATGGGATAGCTGCCAGTATCCCCCTATTGGCGACCTTGTGGTCAGGTTTGGAGCAGAGAAGTATCTTTTTATGGAACTTTTGTTCCTGCCTACGGGGAAAACATGACTGAGGACGGTACTGTAAAGGTAAAACCATATGACAGGTGGTAGGGAGGGGAAGGGTAGCACCGCAGATAAAGCCGGAAATAAATGTAGGCTAGTTGTTGCCCCTGGGCTGGATATGTGGGACATGTGCCTTTGGAGCAAGGCACTATCAAGAATAAAAGGCATCCATTCACAAAACAATGGAATTGTATCAATGGTGCAAAAGATGAATTTGTTATTGTGTAAAGAAACAATTGAGTACTGACGGGATACTTTTTTTATTTGCACTAACATACAATTTTGAGGACAAGCTTTCGGGGTATGTCCCCTTCTTCAAGGTCCAGGCAGTACTCTAAAAATGTTGGATTCACAGCCATGAAAGGTCTTTTGAATGGTAAGCTTCCTGGTGAATTCTACATTGGCCAGTCATCCATTTACCAACTCCAGTCATTTAAAGTATGGGAAACAATGCAACCAATCCCAATAATTCATCATTCAAGTTTTGATTCCTATTTTTTACACATACCAAAGTTTACTGTGAATATGTCAAAGCAGAGGATGGGAAGATTGATTATCCCTGTCAGGGTTTTATTGCTTTCTTCTCACTGCCATGATGACGTATCCCCAGATAGGACGTGAAGGTAAATCTCCAACAGAGATGCATACAACAATAAAATGCTGACAGGGGTTCTAACTATGTAAGACAAGCCAGGCCTGGATGTCTGGAACTTTGGGTACGGAGGGTGACCTCTCCGCCATGGTTATGTTTATGTAGAGCTTGGCAGGGGGTGAAACCTGCCCCTGCTCCATCCAATGTGAAGAAACAAATCTTGAATGGTGTCAGGAAGTAGCCAACCCTCAAGTTAATGTACATGCATATAAATATACACATTGTCAGGTGTGCAAGCATGAGTGTGTGCAGATTTATGCAAATGTCTACTGCCACCAAGTGGGCTATTTAAACCTGAATTCTGCTCAAAATCCTTGGTGAATGGTCTTCAGTCTTGCTCCTGTGATTCTGATCCTGACCCAACTTAAAAATGACCTGCTTTCAGATCACCCTTGTCTGCTGTTTATCTTCATTATGGACCTCGGGTTGGACTATAGACCACACTTCTTACCAGCGAATTGTGTCTTGTTGCACACTCATTGCCAAACTGCCTGTTCCTGATTCGGATCCTGTCTATGAGTTTGCGTCTTGGCTGTCACTATACCCGGCTTTGGGAACTGGCTCTATCTTTGACTGAACTTGGCACATCCGCAGTGCACTGCCAGCTGTTTTCCTGCTTGTCTGATACCAGAACTCTTTCCAGCTCACAGTGTCAGCACCTTAGCACTTGTGCCATTTATTCGACCCTGTCTCAAATTCCAGGGTTTCTCGGATGTGAATTGTGCAAGAGGCCTTCTCGTAATCTCAGACTCCGCATACAGATAGATGACAAATGGGATATCATGCAAGCAGGGGCGAACTGACAACTCATGGGGCCCCCGGGCAATAGGAGGTCATGGGGCCCCTGTGTCCTTGCCCAAACTCAAAAAAGCCTATGAAAAAGGTACCAGGGGCATCTCATGGGGCCCCCTACTGACCCCGGGCCCTCGGGCAGTGCCCGAGTTTCCAAATGGTCAGTCCGCCCCTGCATGCAAATATAGTCACATTAAAGTGTCAACATGTACAACAGAGAGAGCAAAATGTTGAAAAACATGGGCCCTAACAATCACATGAAATACCTGGAATAATAGGACTGAAAGCTCTATCCCAATGAGCTTACAATCTAAAAGGGAAACAGAGATATAACTGGAGATTTGGTAGTAACACTTGTGTTGTGGACGGAATAGTGTGTGAGATGGCTCAAATTCTGGCATAGAGATGTTGGGGATATCAGAAAATGGATCTGGAGGTCATGTTTGCAATATTGAAAGACTGTTGAATTTCTAAAGGATTGTGGAACTGAATGCCTGGAAATGGGAGCAATACAAGAGAAGCCCCAAAAATATAAGTGAGAAGAAGTGACCACAGATGAGAGCCTTCGCAGTTACAGTATAATGTGAATATGTTGGTGTAGGAAAGCCCCTCTTAGTCAGGGTTCCATGGAACTCTACAGTTCCTCTAGAAGTTGCTAAAGGTTCCTTGAGCAAGGAGCAATGTCTCCCTTGCAGAGGAGTAACTACTGCCAGCAATGATTTTTGTAGCTACCTGGAAAGGGGATTCTTCCCAATGACTATCACACTAATGTACCGTGAGCTGTAGATATAGTAATTATTAACAGGGGTTCCCTTATCCCAGAAAGTTATTTTAGGGGTTCCTCCAACTTAGAAAGGTTTAGAGAGGCTATTGTAGGAAGTGGGTATAGATACAATAGTGCCCTGTAAAGCTTTCTATTACAATTATATTCCTGTGTCACATTTAAGTGCAAATTAAATTATTTCAGTGCCACAAAATGTAAACATCAGTCAATAATACAATGGTCTTCGCTTTGGTAACATTCCTTTAATTTTCATAAACATTGACATCCATAGAAGAAGGGTTAATGTGTCCTGCACTGATAGGTTTGCTCCTCCAGAAAACATAACATGAGGAGAGACTTGTTACTTTGGCCTACAACTAATAAAGTAAAAAAGCAATGATCAAAATCCAGTATGACACAGAAAGCGACAGTTAAAAGAACCCATAGTGAGAAAACATGAAGGCTGCCATTGCTGGCTTCTTTTTCTGACCATATTGAAGGTGAGCTGAAACAGGCAAAAGAACTGTATGTAACAGCTGTTGGTTTCACTGATTTCTCAGGCCAGTCCAGACCTTAAGGACTTACCCTTTGTCAACTTCCCATTAAAAAGCAATCCACCCTTGTTTGATTTTCCAAGGGGCAGCAAGGGCTGCCCCAAGCGTGATGAAGCAGTACATTTGTAGCTCCCAAAACCTTGTGGAATGTAAAAAAAATTTATATATATATATATATTTTTTTTTTAACTTCTACAAGTGGTCCTTTTTATTCTCCAATTCCTTTCTATGATTCCACAGGTAGCCTACCAACTTCCATGTACCACCCAGGACACCAGGTGGTCCAGCATTCCTCACCATTAACATTTTATACAATAAGCATTCTGTGGTTGTCAGGATTCTATGTCTTCAGTGGTCTGCATGTCATTGACTGAAAATGAGTATGTAGATTAGATTTTGTGACTTTCTTGGTCTGCATGCTTGTTCCTGGTCATAGCCTGAGAAATACTGAATTTAGGAACACCTAGAATTTTCAAAGGGTCAGTAATGGCCACCTCTTTGTTTTAACTGAAGGCAGGTGAAATATATCTGCTTATAATTCTCTACAGAACTTTACTAGATAAGCTTGTGTGTGTTAATTGACTGGTCTAATTTTCATTTCAGATATCTTGTAGGAATAATGCAAGCCTTTTCCAGTATGCCAGTTGACACCGTCCGCATAGGAGTCATGTTGTCCCATCAGGTAGAGCCCATTCAGGTTTGAAGAGTGGCAGTTATTGTACCACCATCCTCCTTTATAGACGCTGCAACATTTGGATTCAGTGATATCATTGTCCTTGGTGGAGAATTGCATATCGCCATGGCCACTCAAAGAGTCACCTGAAAACACATTTGCTGATATCATTAAAGATGTTAAAAAAAGAAAGTTTTATTTAAATATTTATAATGGGGACTACATACCATTTTCTATGCAGCTTTGCTTTGGGAACAAAAACCCATTCCTCTACATCTGCTATACCATAAACACTGTACCCATATTTTCTGATCCTGCGTTTTTGGGGTCCATTTGTTGGGAAAAGTCTGAATGCTGCCTAAGCCCCTCACCTAGGAGACAGTCAGAACTGCTGATACAGACACATTCAGTTCAATAAGCTTTATTAGTCTGCATCTTTTAAACTCCAGAACCGTGGTTCTCAGCCACCAGGCCATGGCCAGCTGCTGGACCCCAATGTCTCTCCACCTGGGCCTTGAGCCAGCTGCTGATCCCTAACCACTGTGCTTCAGCTCTCATGGTGGCCACAACCTCCCTTAACTGCCTGCAGTGCCCCTCAAACAATCACTGTGCCCCCAGGCCCCCTTGAGAGCCTTCAGCCTCCATGGTGCTCTCCCTCAACTTCTCACAGTCCCACCCAGCCCTCCACAATGTCCCCTAGTCTGCTGCAGAGCCTTCAGCCCCCCACAATGGCCCCAACCTCCAACAGTGTGCCACAGGGCCTCCTTTAACCTTCAGTGCCCCACAAAGTTCCTCCGGGGGAGACCACAGCCCCTCCAAAAACTTCAACCCCTACAGGGCCACCAAGTCTTCTGCAGAGTACCTAACCCCCTCCACACTCTGTAATCAATTTGCTAAGCTGTAAATTAGTGTGTATTTGCTATACTTTAAAAGAGCTGCTCTCAATCACCAGGCTGATGTTTTAGAGGATAGGGGACAAATTCAGACATCAGTTAGGCTGGGTAAAGTGGGTTAGCAATCTCTTACCTGCATTGCCCTCAGTGAAAGCTCCAAGTACCAATTTATACCTCTCAGCTTCTCCCAGAACTTGGAATGATGCATACTTGGCAAAATGCTTTATTTTGTCAAAGGCAAGTAGATCAATATGAATTTCCCATGTGCCTGTAAAGAGATTTCTCTTTTATAATATCCAGTATTTTGACAAACTCAGACTCTCAAGAAGAAGTAAAACCATGAGCAGAAGAGGACTGAGCTAAGGAGAATTTTCCCCCAGGACACTGCTAATAGCATAGGCTGGGCTGTTGGCCCTGAGTTGAAAAACTTCCCATTTCAAATACTAATAAACATAGGACCTGCATTCAGTGGCACGTGCTTGGTTTTTTTTTTTTTTTTTTTAGCTACCCACTCCCCATTAATCATAGTGAATGGCAGAGGGAAGTCTTCCAGCACTAACATAATTTTAGGCCTAAAGAGGTCAGTTGATCAAATGCAAAGCTGCAATCAGGGGCGGACTGACCATTTGGAAACTCGGGCACTGCCCGAGGGCCCGGGGTCAGTAGGGGGCCCCATGGGATGCCCCTGGTACCTTTTTCATAGGCTTTTTTGAGTTTGGGCAAGGACACAGGGGCTCCATGATTCCCTATTGCCCAGGGGCCCGCCCCATGAGTTGTCAGTCCACCCCTGGCTGCAATTGACCACTGGTCATGGAAGAAGTTAAAAGGCTTGTAAGCTATACCCTTTAGGATCACCTGCCTTTTACCATGTCCAGTAATCACTGTGGCACTATGGCAAACTTTCTCTAGCTCAAAGAAATTTGTTTCCACCATGAAATAAGCAGTTGGTTGTGCCTGCCCCTCAGATCAAAGTTCCCCAGTCCTCTAATCATGAGACCTAAGCTGGCCATACACTGAACGAAGGTTGCTCACTTTCTGAAGAACTGGCTGAAATTTCATCAGTGGGTGGCCCTGCCCAGGGGTGGACTGACAATTCATAGGGCATCATGGGGCCCCTGTGTCCTTGCCCACACTCAAAGCACACCAAAAAAGCCTATAAAAAGATACCAGGGGCATTTCATGGGGCCCCCCACTGACCCTGGGCCCTCGGGCAGTGCCCGAGTGCTCGAATGGTCAGTCCGCCCCTGGCCCTGCCAACCCCACTCTTCAACAGAAGTCAACTTTTCGATCAACTTTGTCAAAAGGAGCCTGTTGGAAAATTTTCTGCCTAACAGTGGCTGCATCCAATTGGTGGCAGCTGTCAGCAGGGGGATAAATCCCAGTGCAAGGATTCGGAAATCTGTTCAATATTTTTTTTTTTTTAGCCCACACGGTGAATGAAAGAACTGTTTAAGGCCAGCTTTACAGTCCAGTCTTCAAATTGGACAAAACTCCACAGGTTTTTATCACATTTCACCAGACCAGTCACTTCGGGAGTTCAAATGTCAACTTTGTTTTCACCACTCCACTCTGGAGATGCCTTGTGCTCATACTATTTATAATGATGTTAATTATAAAAATAAGGTTATTTATACTGAAGGAAAATTTTTTAGTTAAAAAAAAAATGTTTACAGTCAGAATTCAGTTTTCACTCTTTAGGTGCAGACTGGAAAGGGTAGGAAAAGTTGGCTTGATATGAAAACTTTTTCCAGACACATTTATTTGCAAGTTTCCAAGTATCTTCCATATCAGTCATTGTTCCATAGAGGTGACACTATCACTTAAAATCTCTAGTGATAGAATGGGGAGGAGATGACAGTGCTCAAGTGTCTTATTACCTGATGATGTCAGCACATGAAGGTTGTCATTGCCCAGCCAGAACTCAGTCAGGCGGCTCCCGAAACCTCTCTTGTAGGAGTTCCAGTCACGGAAAAAATCAACAGACCCATCATAACGTCTCTGGAAGACCTACAAGCATGGAAAGTTTTATTACAACCCAACAAGATGGCTGAACATATGTCCCTTATACTGGTTTGTTTTTTAAGGCGAACTGAAGAATACAATGCTCCACATCAGCTGGCCAGATGAATATTTTGGTTATATGACTACAGTAAAATGAAATCTGATTTATTGGTGTGGATTGTTAGACTTTGGAGGTCATCATTGTTCCTGGCATGGCGACTGAATAAAGACAATTCAGTTTATGGAATTTCATTACCCACTATAAAGGCTTCATTTACACTGTGGTTTTTTGGAGGAGCACTCAGCAGGTGGTTAGACCCAAAATGATGGGTCTAATTGTGACACAGACTTCATAGGTATGTATAAAAACTTTGCTGTGCGCATGTGTCAATTATTCACACAGGTACAACAAATCTTCACCTTAAGTTTCTTAATCTATTTCCTAGGACCATCATGGCAATTATCCTGCATTTTTTTTTTAAATACCTCAGTCAGAAAGAAATGACACATTACTGCCACTAGAGGACAATAAAGATCCTAGGAAATAAACATGAGAATTACAGCAAAGATTCATTGTGCCTGTGCAAATGAATGACACAGTAGAAAAGCAAACTTTTTTTATTCATAGGCCCCTTAATTTGCATATTGGAGTCAGGGTATGGTCCAGGGGCGGACTGACAACTCATGGGGCCCCCAAGCAATAGGGGATCATGGGGCCCCTGTGTCCTTGCCCAAACTCCAAAAAGCCTATGAAAAAGGTACCAGGGGCATCTCATGGGGCCCCCTACTGACCCCAGGCCCTCGGGCAGTGCCCGAGTTTCCAAGTGGTCATTCCGCCCCTGGTATGGTCCCATGGTTGCCAGAGCATTGCATGTAAGTTTCAGTCACCCCTGCATATTGCATTCCCTTCTTCTCCTGGTGGGAGATCAATCTAATTGCAGGACGGACATTGATGAAATAACACCAATGTTAGATGTGCAACAAACTGAATATACAAAAAAGTGAAAGTCCACTTGACTATCAGTAATACATGTAGAAGTAAATGATGACAGGGTCTTATTGAGAAAGAATACCTGGGTGCCAATATAAGATTTTTTTTTTCTGTCGCAATCCCCTGGAGCCCTTTCTTTGTCTTTTCTTTTCTTCGTTCCTCCTTTTCTCTTCTCTGTTCTGCCAGTTTTCATGATAATTGCGCTGATTGTGACTTCTTTCACTAAACACCGTACCAGCAATATTGTATGTACCTGTTGGACTTCCTTGGGAGTCCTGGGTGTGCAGTACCAATGTACACTCAGTGAGGCTTCGTGTTTTTTCTCCAGCCCTCTGTTTGTGGACTTTGTGATAATCTTGGCTCTATGTTTACTAATTCATTGGTTTCAAATTTCCTGCCATCTTTGCAAATTAACATGTTTTATTTTACTTCCTCATATACTGCGCTTGTGTACTCAGCTTGTTTCCTTATTAATACTTCAGTGCATTCATGGTACTAATCATCTGAACACTTGTATGTCTCATTTTTGTTGGTCAGTGATCTTGTTTATGACTGTTTCTCTAATGTTGTATTTTCTATAACAAAATCCATTGTAAAAGAAAAATACCTGAGTGCCACTTATGACAAACGTACTGCTTAATGGTCAAGCCTAGATAGGTAGCCCTAAAAAAACCTGATGCATTTTAGCTCAGTGACTAGTTAATCCAAAGCAGTCTGCTGGTCCTTAGTCATATGTATCTCAGTGTCTTTTCTATTACACCTACTTCATGAGTTTTGAATAGCGCAATGAATCTCAACCACCCAGCCAAGGTCCACTGCTGGGCTGCAAACTCCCCTGTTGTGGGCTTCCTGCCAGCTGCAGATACTTTTTAGCTCTCATAGTGCTTTCCAGCTACTATATTGCCTCCCCAGCCTCCCACAGAGCCCTCGAGCTTCCACTAAGCCACCCAGCCTCCCACAGTGTCCTCCTAGCCTACTGCAGAGCCTTTAGACCTTCACCACCCCACAGTGCTGCCCAGATTCCCACAGTGCTCCCCAGCCAGCTGCAGATCATTCAGACCTTTACCAACCCACAGTGCTGCCCAGATTCCCACAGTGCTCCCCAGCCAGCTGCAGAGCCTTCAGACCTTTACCAACCCACAGTACTGCCCAGATTCCCACAGTGCTCCCCAGCCTGCTGCAGTGTCTGCAGACCTCTATAGTGCCCAAAACTTCCAACAGTGTCCCACAGTACCTCCCGTGCTCCACAGACCCCACTAGAAGCTTCATTCCCTACAGGGCCACCTAGTCAGCTGGAAAGTCCCCCAACCCACTCCACAGTCCCCATCCCCCCCACAATGACACCTAGCCCCATCCAGAGTCTTCCAGAAATTCATTAAACATTTTGCATTCCCATACTTGTGTGAGTATAAACTTCTTCTTTACTGTAGCGGACATGGAAGGTTTTAGGGAATTCACTGTGTAGCAATATGTTATATGCTGTATATGGCCTCTAGGGGTCTCACTACTTAGATACTGGTACAACTGTGTTATTGCGTCTCTTTGGTTGTAGTTCTAGGGCAGACACATGTTTAATGGCAGCTATGAGCACCTAATAAAAATGTCTGCTACTAACTACAGTGTGTGAGCACCTGAGCAGGATCGACTAACAGAACATGGTGGCAGCTGGGCACTGGACCTCTGAATAGCAAGTCTTCTGTGTACAAATACAGATTGTGTGACACTAGAACTGTACAGAGAATCAGCAACTGTAAGTACAGAGTCCCTATCAGACTGCACTATGGAGAGTGGCCTGAAACCCCCTCAGAGACTGGATGTCACTTCTTCCAATCTCTCACAGACATGGAGACACTGGAAGGAAGAGTTTGCTCTGTATGTGGACCTGACAGTGGCACCCAGAGATGAGCAGAGGGAAGTAAAGCTGTTTTATTACTTGATTGGGGAAAAAGGCAGAGAACTAGCCGAGACCCTGCTCACAGACAGCATGGCACTGACAGACATACTGCAAGCATAAACACTGTGACCCCAAAAAGAATGAGACAGTGGAGAGATACAAGTTCTTCTCAAGGAATCAGGAGATTGGGGACAGTGTGGACAGATATGTGACAGAGCTGAGGAGACTGGCTGCAACCTGTGGATTTGGGGACATCAGGGACTCCCTTATCCGAGACAGGATAGTGTGTGGCATCAGAGACTCTCACCTCAGAGAAAGATTACTGAGGGAGGAAGAGCTGGCTTTGGAGAAATGTATACAAATCTGCAGGGCTGCTGAGCTGACTAAAGACAGGCTGAAGATGATGGAGGGCACCAGTGATGCCTCAGTACATGCAGTATCTGTGAAAGGCAGAGCAGGGTCCAGGCTCCCTGTGAGCTCAGTCCAGTGTAAATACTGTGGCAAAAGACATGAAAGAGACAAAGAGAAATGTCCAGCGTATGGGGAGTCCTGCAGGACTTGTGGCAAGATGAACCACTTTTCAGCTGTGTGCAGATTCAAAACCAGCAAACAGTACAGACAAGTCCACACAGTGACCCAGGACACAGACGAGGACAGCACAGAGGGCATCACATGGCTGCAGCTGCAGTCTGCAACAGAGAACATCAATGTAGTCAAACAGCCAGTAGCCAATGATGCAAAGCAGCTCTTTGCCATATTTATGGTGGATGAACAGCCCATAAGATTTCAGCTGGATTGTGGAGCAAGTTGCAATGTCATTCCATTTACTCTGCTTAACAAACAGGTTCCCATAGAGCCCACTGATAAGGTACTGGTCATGTACAACAAAAGTGTTCTGAAACCCATGGGAACATGCAAGCTAAAATTAAGAAATCCACGTAACAGAAAGAGCTACAGAGTGGAGTTTACTGTGTTGCAGGAGGACGATCACATTCCTTTGCTGGGAGTTAAAGCAGTTCAGGCTATGGACTTAATAAAGGTGCAGTCCCATAACATCATGGCTCTGGAAGTTTCTGACAATACTCAAAATCCTACACAAAAGGCAGAATACATTTTGGATTTTCACCACATAAAAACAGAGTATGCTGATTTATTTGAAGGTGATGAGTGCCTGGAAGGTAAATACAAACTAGAAATTGATCATACAATACAGCCTACCAGACTGCCTACAAGATGAGTACCTGTAGCCTTAATGCAACCGCTTAAAGAGGAACTGCAGGATTTACACAGCAGAGGTATGATAGCACCAGTACAGGAAAGCACAGACTGGATAAGCAGTTTGGTGATAGTGAAAAAAACCATCAGGCAAGTTAAGAATATGCATTGATCCTAAGCCACTGAACAAGGCCCTGAAAAGAAATCACTATCCAATGCCAATAATAGAAGATATTCTACCAGATCTATCAAAGGCTAAAATATTTTCGGTATGTGATGTGAAAAATGGGTTCTGGCACGTGGAACTGGATAAAGAATCAAGTTTATTAACAGCATTTTCTTCCCCATTTGGACGCTATAAGTGGCTGAGAATGCCAATGGGATTAAGCCCGGCTCCAGAAGTGTTCCAACAAAAATTGATGCAAGCTTTGGAAGGACTGTCTGGAGTAAAAATAATAGCAGACAATATACTAATAGTTGGGGAAGGTGATGATCTAGAATCCGCAACAAAGGATCACGATAAAAAGATGATACAATTCTTTAACAAATGCAGAAAAAAACAAATCAAACTGAACCTGGCAAAATTCAAACTAAAAATGACAGAAGTACCATATATTGGACATCTTCTTACCTCAAATGGTGTTAAAGTCGATCCAGAGAAGGTGAGGGCAATACAGGACATGCCGACACCTACAGATATACGTGGAGTACAACGATTCCTGGGCATGGTGAATTATCTTTCCAAATTTTGCAAGCATTTATCAGACATGTGTGAGGTACTGAGACAGCTAACTCACAAAGACGTACTCTGGGAATGGACAGAAAGCCATGAAACTGCTATTCAGTCAGTGAAAAATGCTATTGCAGACGCAGCAACGCTAAAATATTTTGATCCAGATCAAGCAGTGGTAGTACAATGTGATATCACAAGTGTAATAAAAGCGCCACACCCTTAATACTTTAAAGCAGCAATTCCACCTCAAAGAAACCAAATAAATTTCTTAGTGCTATAACTTAAATAAAGGAATGCGCTAAAACCACAAACTACTATTCCTAATATTCCTAATTTAGTGTAGAAACATTAGTGCAATATATATATATATATATATATATATATATCTATTCTCAATTAATATCAAAAAATATCAAAATTATGTGCAAAACTATTTTTTAGTGCATAATAATTTAAATAATTCAATTTTTGAATATAAAAAAATGTCCAATTCTGAATTTCTTCAAATGTCCAAACAAATCCTTTTCAAATTCAGGTGCTCTCAAAGAAATTGTGCCAAAATCCACCACCAAAGTAAAGTTGGGTGACTCACCAGAGCTCCATGCTGATCAATCTCTAGATCAGCAAAAAACGCTTTTTGCTCTGGGAGCAGATGCAATGAATCAACTTCTCAGGTGTGATGATCAATAGCTGCACAATCATCCATAAGGTAGGTATCCACCACTCAATATAATGGTTCCAGGAGCATTATATCACTCTCTCTTTTTATATCTCTCCATCGAGGTCATGTTTGGGAATGAAAGAGAAAATCATGGTGCAGCCAGTTTTTTTTATAAAAGTATCCAACAATTTAATAAAGATTTACACTCACAAAAAGGGTGTCTTCACCGACACCAGTATAACAGCATAAAACAGCAAATGGTATAACAGTCTCCTGTTCCCCACACACTCACTACAGCGCTTGTGACTCAATTTTCTCCACAGACGTCAGCATCCAGGAAGCCCCTGGGCTTTGATATTTTTTGATATTAATTGAGAATATATATATATATATTTTGCACTAATGTTTCTACACTAAATTAGGAATAGTTTGTGGTTTTAGCGCATTCCTTTATTTAAGTTATAGTACAATGTGATGCCTCAGAAACCGGCCTTGGAGCCACACTAATGCAGGATAAACAGCCAATCACATATGCAAGCAGAGCGTTAACTCTAACAGAGCAAGGATATGCTCAAATCGAGAAGGAACTACTAGCGGTAGTATTTGGGTTAGAGAAATTTCACCAGTACACCTACGGTCGACAAGTGGTGGTGCATTCAGATCACAAGCCTTTAGAAAGTATTACAAAGAAGCCACTACTGAATGCCCCAAAAAGACTGCAGCGTATGCTGTTAAGGCTTCAGAAATATGATTTTAACATTTGTTACTGTCCAGGGAAGGATTTACTGATTGCAGATGCCCTAAGCAGAGCTTACTTACCCATCACAAATGAAGAAGAAAAAGACATTGAAAGCATCAATATGTGTGAATATCTGTCTGTCTCAAAAGACAGACTGAAACAAATACAGACCTGCACAGCGGAAGATATAACTCTACAGATCCTAAAGACTGTCATCTTGAAGGGATGGCCAAAACACAAGCAGCATGCTCCAATGGAGGTTTCTCCATTTTTTTTCACATAAGAGATGAACTCTCTGTGCAGCATGGAATCATCTTTAACCATTTGCCGCCCAGCCAATGGCCGTTTGGCGGCTTGAAAGTTGCTTCTCCACTCCGGGTGCACGCCATTTGGCGTGCTCCCGCACATGCGCAGTTTGCGCTAATGCGAGAGCCGCGCAGCGGCTCGATCTGTCACCGGGCGTGTACCTCGGACACGGCCGATGACAGATCCGAGTACCGGCTCCGTTGCAGGTACCATGTGACCTGCTGTGACCAATCACAGCAGGTTACATGACAGTTGTATACAATGGATGGCTTCATTCATGATGCCATCCATTGTATACTAGTGCCTAGCTGTGAATGGTCACAGCTAATCACATGCACATGTCATGTGATTAGCTGTGACCAAATCACAGCTAAGCACAAAAAAAAAAAAAGCTGAATGAATCCATTTCATTCAGGTAAATGCTTGCTTATAGCAAAGTATTTCTTTGCTATAAGCAAATTGTGTAAAAAAAAAAAAAAAAAATACTGATCACTTCCCCAAAGTAGTACAATGTTACTATGGTAACATTGTACTACTTTGGTCATAGTAAAATATGAAAAAAAAAAAATGTTAAAAAAAAATTAAAAAAAGTAATAAAAAATTAAAAATAATAAAAAAAATTAAAAAAAATTAAAAATATATATATATATATTTTTTTTTTTTTCATACTGTCACCAGTCAGTGTCCCTGTTCACCGCCATGCCAGTTATATGATAACGCTGTGAAAATAATTTTTTTAATTTTTTCATTTTCCGAAAAATTATGACAAAAAAAATACAACTTCAAAAAACTCGCCATGCCTCTTATGAAGTACGTCGGACTGTCTACTCTGCAAAAAGGGGTCATTTGGGGGATATCTGTACTATTCTGACATTCTTAGACCTCAAGAAATTAGATTGGCCGTCAGTACTTCAGGATTGATCAATAATCAGATCTATACCATAGTTTGTGAACTCTATAACTTTCCTACAAACTAAATAATACATCCTAATTTGGGTTATTTTCACCAAAGACATGTAGCAGAATACATCTCGGCCTAAATTTATGAAGAACAATTATTTATTTGTAAATTTTTATAACAGAAACAAAGAAAAACGTGTATTTTTTTCAACATTTTTGGCTTTTTTTGTTAATTTAGCAAAAAATAAAAAACCCCAGTGGTGATTAAATACCACCAAAAGAAAGCTCTAGTTGTGTGAAGAAAATGATAAAATTTTAGTTTGGGTACAGTGTTGTATGACTGCGCAATTGTCATTCAAATTGTGAGAGCGCTGAAACGTGAAAAATGGCCTGGGCAGGAAGGTGTAAAATTGCACGGTATTGAAATGGTTAAAGGAGAAAGGGCTGTCATACCAAAATCCCTTAGAAGAGACATTATAGAAAGATTGCACTCGACTCACTTAGGTGTAGAAGGATGTCTACGTCATGCACGAGAATATGTTTATTGGCTTGGAATGAATAACCACATAAACTTTATAGCACAGTGTGAAATATGTGCATCGTGCAATGATAAGCAACCGAAAGACATTGCAACCACATCCAATTCCAAACAGACCATGGTCAAAAGTAGGAACAGATCTGTTCATGTGGAACGACAAGAAATATCTGGTAACTGTGGACTATTTTTCCAACTTCTGGGAGATAGACTACTTACAGGACACAAGGGCCAAAACAGTAATTAAAAAACTCAAGGCCCATTTTGCCAGATATGGCATTCCGGATATTGTGTTCTCTGACAATGCTGCTCAATTTGCATCGGAAGAATTCAAAAAAATTCAGGGAGAGGTGGGAATTTGAGCACCAGACATCATCTCCTGGATATCCACAGAGTAATGGTGAAGCGGAGTCAGCAGTAAAAACAGCCAAAAGACTCATGCAAAAGGCAAAACAGGCAGGTACAGAGATATACCTGTCTATACTGGACCACAGAAACACACCCACACAAAGCCTAGACACCAGTCCAGCACAGCGGCTTATGAGTAGATGTACAAGGACTCTCCTACCAACTGCAGGTCAACTACTAAAGCCAAAGCTTGTGGGCAATGTTAGGCTACGTTCACACTAGCCTTGTGTGCAGGCGGCAGAGAGGCGTTTGGGAAGCGTTTTTTTTACCGCTTTCCAAACGCCTCTGCCAATTCTGCACATTACAGCACATGGTGCTGTTCTAACGGGAGCGTTTGCGTCGCGTCGCGGCAAAACGGACGCCTCTGGACGAGTCAGGAGGCTTTGAAGGCTCCTATTCTCATCTATGGTGCCGCTCCGCAAACGCCCGGCCGGCGTTTGCGGTGCGGTTGTGACGCGGTTGCGGGGCGTTTGCGGAGCGGTAACACCACTCAAACTGCATTATAGGCGTTTATGGGGCGTTATTAACGCTCGGCAAACGCCTAGCAACCGCCGCTAAACCGCGCATGCGGCGTTTGCGGAGCGTTTGCCGAGTGTTAAAAAACGCTCTGCAAACGCAGGACCAACGCTTGCCAAATGCTATAGGGGCGTTTGGCAAGCGTTGGCAAAACAGCCTAGTGTGAACGAGCCCTTAAAGCCAAACTAACGAAGAATCAAGATAGGCAAGCTTTCTATTATAATAAATCTGCAAAAGATCTGCCTGTTCTCCAGAGCAATGAAAATGTACGGATTCAGCCAATAGGCAAATATGACAAACACTGGAAAAAAAGTGAAGGTTGTACAGAAAGAGGAAGGAAGAAGATGGAGGAGAAATCGGAGACATCTGAGAAAAACACAAGAAGGAGATGATACAGGGCCCTGGGAACAGTATATGGACACTCAAAGCGATGAGACTATGAATACCAGCAACAAAGAAACAGGAACTGCTGAGGAGCATAGGGAGGTCTCTAGGCAGAGAGAGACAGTCCCAGAAAATAGACTGCCAGAATCAGAAGAACACCAAGATTTGTGTGAAGAAACCTCATATGTTACGCGAGCTGGCAGAACAATCAGAAAGCCGGCTCACCTCAAGGATTATATCTAATTTATAGCTATGTTCTACTTCACCATTTTGTGTTTGTTATATTTCATTGTTCTTTTATTTAAAAGAGAAAGGTTGTAGCAATATGTTATATGCTGTGTATGGCCTCTAGGGGTCTCACTACTTAGATACTGGTACAACTGTGTTATTGACTCTCTTTGGTTGTAGTTCTGAAGAAGCAGACACATGTATAATGGCAGCTATGAGCACCTAATAAAATGTCGGCTACTAACTACAGTGTGTGAGCATCTGAGCAGGATCCACTAACAGAACACACTGGGCCATGGTCTCAAAAAGGTTGTGAAACATCGGAATAGAATTATACATTCACTTTAGTAATTTTATCCTTTTTTTTTTCTTTCCTTAGCTGCATTGATTTGATGACTTACAATCCAGCCTCCTCCATCAGTATACATATCACACAGCACTTTCATGGGCTTCTGACCATCTGGGTATATGGTGTACCAGTCACTTAGCACTGTACCCTGCTGCAGAAGTTCTTTACAGTTTTTCAAACCTGTGAGAGGTTGAGAAGGTAAATATTTACTTGGGGATATACTAATCCTCATAACACAATATGCTAAAAAAAAAACCAAGAGATTTCCATTGTGACTCACTAAACCTTGAAATGGAATGAGAAATCTGAAACAATACTCTTTTTATATTACAAAGCCATACAGAGAATGCAGGATCATTGAAATGTTAAAAGCATTTAATCTATTGTTTCTGCTCTTATCAAAATACACATATAAAAAAACTCCTTGGTAGAAATCAAATACAACAACCCAGGGCTACCAGGTAAACATTCCAACCTTTTAACAACCAAGCTATCTAAAGTTATGTGTTTGGGTAATTGTTAACTCTTCACAGTAGTGGGAAACGGGAAAAGAACAATTAAGCTGCCTGCCCACCACTATGCATAAGAAATACACGTTCTCTATGGAAAGTTTAAACTTACCATACAAAGATTCCGTTACTCCAGAGTCCCCTCTCTCTCCTGTCATAAATACAAAATAAAGGCAGCTAGTTTTAATTTAAAAATAACAGGTCCAAAATAAAGGCCTTTGTGTTTCTCTTATGCAAGTTTCCTTGAAGATAGGCCTGGAGCAAGAAGCAAGACATAGGGGGCCTACAAGTCTGCCATGGTAGAAGGGGTGGCAAAGCTCATAATGGGTTAAGTAGGATGATGGGTTTAGAGCAATGGAAAAGTGGATCTAACCTGATCAGAGGGATCAAGCTTGGTAATGAGATGTCTTCGGAGCATGTATAAGGGGTGTAGCAAAGTTTCTTTAGTCTAAGGCCAACTGACTTTGGATGCGCTTTCCTTCTGCCCTCCCTCCCTAACTAATTTTATTGTATATTTCATTATGTAGGTCATGGCTGCTATTGTGCGAGTTGCACAGTCCTTGAATGTGTTCATCCTCATAGGGACCGCCTTTGAGGTACAGCTTCTCTTTTCGCAACAGTCTGTTGGAATAACCCAGTATGGGTGGAATGGGATGCTTCTGAAGTTATTTTGTGTAATTGTCCCCAAGGCAATTTGGTGCATTTGGGGGCATATCAAATCAAAGTTGGTTGCCACTGGTAGTGTTTGGGTTCACAATTTTGTGTCTATAATAAAATTTTACTTTACTTTTTCAGTTGTTATAGAATTGATTCATTTAGATTTTAACCCCTTGGTGCCGGTGTCTCCTGGTCCTTTGAAGGTTTTGTGGGACGGGGTATAGAGTAATGTGACCGCCATGATTGGCTGTCACGGCGGTCACATGAACGGAAAACCCCCCACCACAAATAGAGATTGGGACCTTTCCGTGAGGTGCTGGTAAATGTGCCAGGAGCACGTAGGGATCATGCTGTCAGCGCATCTTTTGTTTACATTGGGTACACAAATATGTGGCCAGCCCCAACGCCCAGCCGCCGAGAGGCTGCATATTTGTGTACGCTCGGTACCAAGGAGTTAATAAAGGAATGCTAAGGCCATAAAATTCCACACAGGTATGGTCTCTTTGATTTAACAAGTTGGGCTTGAGCAAAGGTGCAGCTGAGTTTTTAGTATAGCAGTTCCTAGGGGAGTTCGGTTCTAGTCAGGGAAATGTCTAATTGCAGTGTACAATTATCCAAAATAATATGGAAGAGAGGAAGACAGCAATAGACATTGCTAGGGGATGTCAGGAAAAGCATATCAGAATATCTAGAAATTGGGGGGAGCAGAAAACTAAAGGTAGATCAAAGTAACCAATGGTTTGTACTGTATATTTCTGGGGAGATTATAATTACTTGCACGTTATATTTCCGGTATGTCCTGTGTACCTCGGTGAGGTGTTTTTGTTTGTTTTTTTATGTACGTTGCATGTCTGAGGTCTTTAACCCATTAAATATTATTCTGTAAAAGAGAAAACCTTTGTAAGTCTTACCTTTTTCTCCTTTTTCTCCCACACCTAAAACAAATATGAGAAGCTTCAGTATTGCAGTATAAGTGTGTACATTATTATAGGCTTTAATTTGTAGAGAGAGGACATGTTACCTGAGCCCGAGGGCTTCTGGTGGTCTCTAATGACCCTTTTCAACAATAAAAACTGAAAAAGAGAAGTCCTAACCTACAGTGATCAAATAGACTTCATTTTTACTATCAGAGATTACTTATTATTCAACTTAAATTATATAAGGTCCAAATTGCACAGCCAATGGCTGTCTTCTGAAAGGTGACAACTGATGGTGTACACATGCCAGTTAGGGTGCAGCCTGTTCTCCATCAAATTTTGGCAACTATTAAATTTATGAATGGCGGATATCATCCAGATAACCTGGGGCTGATGACCATATACAGTATTGGGGATTACTCTGTTTCGTATGTAGCACTGTAAATGTGTAAAATACAGACTGCAACTGCCTCACTCTGTATCCTGTGCTAAATGTTGTATAATTCAGACCACCCAACTCTGAAGGCTCTGCTGTACATCATATAGTCCACACTTCTCCACTTGGTATACTGTGCTGATATATATATATATATATATATATATATATATATATATATATATATTGTGGGGTTAGCTCAGGTGGGGGATCACCTTCCCTGGGAAAAATGTAGACCGCACGCTTTCTTTAACCACCTCCCGTGGCAGTGCAGGGGCGGGTGGCCGTTTATAAATAGCTTTCCCAGCCCCCCGCTTGTGCGCGCTCCCTGGGAGCGCGCAGTACCGTGATCCAGTGCCCGCTGTGTCCTCCGGACACAGTGAAACACCGATCGTCGGACGTCCTCTGTGCGAGGTCCCGATCATGTGATCGCTGATTAGCCAATCAGCGATCACATGCAGAGTAGTAAGCAAGATGTCACTTGTGACATCATTGCTTACTACGTGAGAAATCTGTGAATGGTCACAGAGGTCACATGGTACAAGGCTATTCACAACAGCCTTGTACCGTGTGACAAGCTGTGACCAATCACAGCTCACTCAGTAGTTCTCAATGGCTGCAATAATGCAGCTAGAGAGAAGGAGGAACGATTGCTTTTACATCCTTTATGGGTGTAAAAGCAATCAGTGTAAAAAAAAAAAAAATCTTCATCACCCAACCACAAGTAGTACAGTGTCACCATGGTGACACTGTACTGCTAGGGTGACAGTATGTAAAAAAAAAACCCCAAAATAATAAATATAAAAAAAAAAATTAAAAAAAGTTTAAAAATTATAATTTTTGGGTATAAACTAATTTGGATTATTTTTTCTTTTACTAAAAATATAAAAACGGAACAAATTTTGGCCAAGATTTTATGATGAAATAATATTTATTTGCAAAATTTTATAAGAAAAACACTTTTTTACAAAATGTTTGGACTTTTTAATTAACATAGCAAAAAAAAAATTAAATTCCCAGTGGTGAATAAATACTACCAAAATAAAGCTTTATTTGTCTCAAAAAAATGCTAAAAAATTCATATTGCTAGTGTTGCATGACCGCGCAATTGTCATTCAAAGTGTGATAGTGCTGAAAGCTGAAAATTGCCCTGGACAGGAAGGGTGTAAAAGTGTCCGGAAAGGAAGTGGTTAAAAATCTGACTGGTCGTCAGTTTTATTCAAAGGTTTGCAAAATATAGAAACAAACAAAACAGCAAAATAAACTCTTGCCATCCAGGCGCTAACTAAACACACACAACTTTTCCTATCTCACTGGTGAAGGGATTTTCCCTGTCACCAACAAAATGAAACAATAAGCAAACCTTTTTTCTTGTTTGTATAACACACACTTTCATGCACAGCTCTCTCAGTCTCTCAGTCTTCAGTCAATGGCTCTCTGAGTCCCAGGCCATGAGCAGCTTCTTGCTCCAGCCCTGCCTTATTTATAGCACCTGATGGTGGTCATCAGTGGACCACAAAATGCGCTCCGGAACCACCTCTGCCCTAGTGGCCCAGAAAACCCGGAGTGGATTTCACCTTATACTCCCAAGTATGACCGAATGCGAGGTGACACATAGCGTCCATCGATCACCTCACCGTTCATACTGTCACAGCGGTCATACAACAATGTACCCAAACTAAAATTTTATCATTTTCTTCACACAACTTGAGCTTTCTTTTGGTGGTATTTAATCACCGCTAGGGTTTTTATTTTTTGCTAAATTAACAAAAAAAGACACGTTTTTCTTTGTTTCTGTTATAAAAGTTTGCAAATAAATAATTGTTCTTCAGAAATTTAGGCCAAAATGTATTTTACTACATGTCTTTGGTGCAAATAACCCAAATTAGGATGTATTATTTAGTCGGTAGGTAAGTTATAGAGTTCACAAACTATGGTATAGATCTGAATATTGATCAATCCTGAAGTACTGACGGCCAATCTAATTTCTTGAGGTCAAGAATGTCAGAACAGTACAGATATCCCCCAATTGACCCCTTTTTGCAAAGTAGACAGTCCGACGTATTTCATAAGAGGCATGGCGAGTTTTTTGAAGTTATAATTTTTCAGTGCAGTACAGCATAATCATATAACTGGCATGGCAGTGATCAGGGACACTGACTGGTGACAGTATGAAAAAAAATTTATAATTTTTTTTAAATTTATTACATTTTTTTCTCTTTTTTTAAGATTTTTTTTTTCCATATTTCACTATGACCAACGTAGTATAATGCTACCACTGTAACATTGTACTACTTTGGGGAAGTGATCAGTATTTTTTTTTTTTATTTTACACAATTTGTTTGTAGCAAAGAATTACTTTGCTATAAGCAAGCATTTACCTGAATGAAATTTTTTTTTTCTTAACTGTGACTTGGCCACAGCTAATCACATGACACAGCTGGGCTGGGATTGGCCCAGCTTGTGCATGTGATCGCTGTGACCATTCACAGCTAGCCATCCTTGTATACAATGGATGGCATGAAAGGAAGCTTTCCATTGTATACAACTGTTAAGTGACCTGCTGTAATTGGTCACAGCAGGTCACATGGTACCAGCAACAGGGCCGGTACACAGACCCGTCATCGGCATGTGTCCGAGGTACACGGCCGGTGACAGATTGCAATGCTGCACGGCTCTGCGGACAGGCAAACTGCACATGCCTGAAAGGACGCCATATGACGTCCACCCAGAGGGACGAGGTGTTTTGCCGGCCGCTATCTGGCTATAGGCCGGGCAGGAACCTGATAATTACTTGGTAAAGATTTTGACCCCTTTTTAAATATTGGCACCACATTGGCCTTATGCCAATCCAATGATACTATGCCAGTCATTAAAGAGTCCCTAAAAATTAGAAGAAATGGCTTTGAAATGATAGAGCTCAATTCTTTAAAGACCGATATATGCCATCCGGTCCAGGTGCTTTATTCACCTTTATTCTGTCTAAATATTTTTAGATCATATCAATTGCGAGCCAATATGCATTATTTGGAGCTGTGTCAATACCATGTCCATTGTGGACAAGAGCTCCCTCATGCTCCTTTACATACACAGAGCTGAAGAAGGTATTTAATAAATTTGCCTTCTCTTTGTCCCCAGTTACCCATTCTAGATTATTTTGTAAAGGGCCTACATGCTCAGACCGAACCTTTTTACTATTATTATATGTGAATAATTTTTTGGGGTTGGACCTGCTATCTTTTACAATCTGTCGTTTGTTTTCAATTTTTTGGCCTTTATTTCCTTTTTGCATTTTCTGTTACATTCTTTGTAATGTTTAAACGATGATAGCGTTCCTTCATTTTTATATGTAATAAAAGCTCTTTTCTTATTATCTATAGCTTTTCTAACTTTGGCCGTAAGCCACATAGGTTTAATTTTTAGCCTTTTAAACTTGTTGTCCATTGGGAATATATTTTGCAGTGTGTTCAAATACAGTCTTTTTGAAGAACTCCCATTTCTGTGTTTTTGTTCATTGATGCCAATATTCCCTCCTGGTCTAAGTCTTGGAGAGCAGCTCTCAGCCTTGGAAAATTAGCTCTCTTAAAATTGAGCATTTTTTATTTTTCCCGTATGTGCTCGCTGTTTACAGCTAACAATAAAGGAAATCATAATATGGCCACTGCTATCCAGATGTTCTTTTATATGGACATTCGTAATAAGCTCTGCATGGTTTGAGATTACCTGGTCCAGCACAGCATCATTCCTAGTTGGGATCACTATGAACTGTACCATAAAATTGTACTGTAATAGGTTTAAAAATTATTGCTCTTGTACTGTTCCTGCAGTACCATTACTCCAGTCAATTTCCGGGTAGTTAAAATCCCCCATTATTATCACTGTCACAGCCCTTGCAGCCCTTTTGATCTGTGCAAGGAGCCGAGTCTCCACCTCCTCATTAATACTGGGAGACCTATAACAAACTTCAATGATTACCTTTGTAGTACACACCCATATGTGCAGTTCCACCCATAATACTTCAGCCTCATCACACTCTCCATCAACTAGGTCCTCTTTCACACTTAAACTGAGATCAGTTCTCACATAGAGACAGATACCACCACTTTTCCTATTTACCCTGTCTCTCCGAAAGAGAACATAGCCAGGAATATTAATGGCCCAGTCATGTGAAGAATGAAGCCAAGATTCAGCAATATCAATTAAATTATAGTTTTCTTCGTGCACCAAAGCTTCCAACTCACAAATTATGCTTGGCAGACTTCTGGCATTGGTGAACAAACACTTTAATCCTTTGACACCTTGTTCACATGTATTTTTCATATTTTGTATTTTAATACAAATGGTACCAATTCCACTGTTTGTTTGTAACATGGGAACCTTCTTATCATCTGCCATAGCCTTCCTCCTATCTTTCCCCATTTCACCCACCAATAAGTACTGACCCCTGTCTGATCTGTCTACCCCGTTATAATCTAATTCTCCACCCCCCTTGATCCTAGTTTAAATACTCCTCCAGCCTTCCCATAAACCTCTCCTTTAGCACAGCAGACCCCCTTCTATTTAGGTGCAAACCATCTCTAGCATATAGGTTGCACCCCAATGAAAAGTCAGCCCAGTGCTCTATAAACCCAAATCCTTCCTTCTTACACCAGGTTTGATTGCACAGGGAGCAGAAGTCAGACTACAGGCAAAGGATACAGATAGAGTTTTGAGTTTTACAAACCTTTTTCACCCGGAGGACCAGCTTTTCCTGCAGTCCCCTGACTTCCCTTTTCTCCTAAATAAATAAATTTATAATCAAAATGATAACCATAAAACCTGTGAATACCATCAGAGTGCCAACACATCACAACACACTTTAATATTGGTATAGTGCTTTTTCCTATATATTCCACCTGACACTAGTCTTTGCACTCCTAGTACTCAACGTGCGGTCTTTTTTGGCACTTTTTGTGCAGTCCTCTGGGCCCCTGAATAGAGTATTATGTGTTTTTCTATTGTCCTGTAAAGGCAGCGATTTCTAGCAGTCTCATGTAATGTTTTGTTAGCCCATAACTGCCTCCTAAAGCATGCCCCCAGTCTAAAAAACACCTATAGTTTGCTTGCAGTCTTGAACAACTACAGCAAGTAAGCAGTCTCTGATCATCTCTTGTAGCAAGCCCGTAGCCTCTGACCATATACAGTTGCATCTCTGATACGTTTGCTCTAGCATTACATTAACGGAATATAATGTGCGACCCTTTTCGGATGTCTGGGTCCGCACTTAAGGCTCCCTATATCAAGTAAGTTGACCACATCGAAAGGGCATCTGTACAGTGAGAGCTCTTTGGCCTTCCTTGTGTTTACTGATCCTGTTGGTTCCTGCTAGGTCCTGTTAGCTGCCAGTGAAACTCAATTCAAAGGGGACTTCCATCCATCTTCAATTACTTTAGTATTCTTTAGGGAGTGTTTTCTTTACCTGCGGATTGTATATAATTTCAACTGAAGGATGAACGCTCTCACTCCAGGTTAAAGTGCCCTACACCAAGCAGACTTTGCTTATATCTACTCCACTGTCCAGTAGCTAGATAGGACCTAAGCAGGGGCGGACTGACCATTTGGGAACTTGGGCACTGCCCGAGGGACCGGGGTCAGTAGGGGGCCCCATGAGATGCCCCTGGTACCTTTTTCATAGGCTTTTTTGAGTTTGGGCAAGGACACAGGGGCCCCATGATCCCCTATTGCCCGGGGGCACCATGAGTTGTCAGTCCGCCCCTGGACCTAAGCATTGTAGATAGGCCACATAGCTATTTATATTCTTACAATTCAGTTATATTTACCTCTGTTATTGTTGCTGGTAGAGTCGTTTTTCTCTCATTCACCAAGTGTGTTTTGGCAGGCCATTCACAGGTGACTAATGGGAAAGGATGCAATCTCTATTTATCTCAGTTTCTATATACTTTGGTGATCAATAATGTGTTGACTCTGCTACTGTCAATCCTCTTTACCAGTTGCTTATTGTCATTTTAATAAAACTCATTTATTGTTATTGGTATATTGTCCAGGTATAGGGCAGGTCATCACTGGAAATGTGTAAGAGAAGCTATGATATCTAGCCGTCCCTGTGGAGGAAGTGTTCCAGTATGTTTAATTAAGGATATAATAACCCTGACGATTGTACTCATGTGTCAACCCCACTATGTTTTGTATACTTTCTTTTTCTCATTGGAAAAACCATAAAAATTATTGGAAGAGGTTTTAATAACCTTTTTTTATTAAATATTTCTAACTTGAGTTAAATTGGTGGGTTTAGTTCTGCCTTCAAGGATAAGTTCACCCGTTTTTAGGGTCCAACATGTAACATGCTCTCATACCTGCAGCCGCCGTCTGCCCCTCCTTCCTCTGACAGATGGACAATATGGGGAGAAGTTTTTCCGTGCTGTCAGATTTTAAAACGGCATGGCCATGCAGAGCTCCCCCCACATGGCTGCATCACTCATTCACAGAGTCCTGTGAATGAGCGCCTACAAGTCCCGACAGCCTTACCGGCTGTCAGCTTGTAGTTTTCAATAACCTACCATGGCACTGTGGAGCACCATGGTAGTTCATTGAAGCTTCCTGTCAGAATGTCTGCTTGACGTACATCCTGTACAACAAGCTGATATTCTGACAGGTCTGCGGAAGATCTGCATGGTGCAATGCTTTCCAGGCTCCTGCAGACAAAAATAATAAATGCACATTTTTTTTACCTGCAAAAAAATGTGATTTATTATTTTTTGTCAAAAAGGTGAACTTATCCTTTAATAGTATTGGTTTGCCAACACTATGTTTATATAGAGTGTGTATGTATGTATGTATGTATGTATGTATGTATGTATATATATGTATATATATATATATATATACACACACACACACACACACACACACACACACACACACACAGTGGGGAAAAAAAGTATTTAGTCAGCCACCAATTGTGCAAGTTCTCCCACTTAAAAAGATGAGAGAGGCCTGTAATTGGCATCATAGGTAGACCTCAACTATGAGAGACACAATGAGAAAAAAAATCCAGACAATCACATTGGCTGATTTGGAAAGAATTTATTTGCAAATTATGGTGGAAAATAAGTATTTGGTCAATATCAAAAGTTCATCTCAATACTTTGTTATATATCCTTTGTTGACAATGACAGAGGTCAAACGTTTCCTGTAAGTCTTCACAAGGTTGGCACACACTGTTGCTGGTATGTTGGCCCATTCCTCCATGCAGATCTCCTCTAGAGCAGTGATGTTTTGGGGCTGTCACTGGGCAACACGGACTTTCAACTCCCTCCAAAGGTTTTCTATGGGGTTGAGATCTGGAGACTGGCTAGGCCACTCCGGGACCTTGAAATGCTTCTTACGAAGCCACTCCTTCATTGCCTGGGCGGTATGTTTGGGATCATTGTCATGTTGGAAGACCCAGCCACGTTTCATCTTCAATACCCTTGCTGATGGAAGGAGGTTTGCACTCAAAATCTCACGATACATGGCCCCATTCATTCTGTCCAGTACATGGATCAGTCGTCCTGGTCCCTTTGCGGAGAAACAGCCCCAAAGCATGATGTTGCCACCCCCATGCTTCACAGTAGGTATGGTGTTCTTTGGATGCAACTCAGCATTCTCTCTCCTCTAAAACACGACGAGTTGTGTTTCTACCAAACAGTTCTATTTTGGTTTCATCTGACCATATGACATTCTCCCAGTCCTCTTCTGGATCATCCAAATGCTCTCTAGCAAACTTCAGACAGGCCCGGACATGTACTGGCTTAAGCAGGGGGACACATCTGGCACTGCAGGATCTGAGCCCCCGGTGGCGTAGTGTGTTACTGATGGTAGCCTTTGTTACGTTGGTCCCAGCTCTCTGCAGGTCATTCACTAGGTCCCCCCGTGTGGTCCTGGGATTTTTGCTCACCGTTCTTGTGATCATTTTGACCCCACGGGGTGAGATCTTGCTTGGAGCCCCAGATCGAGGGAGATTATCAGTGGTCTTGTATGTCTTCCATTTTCTAAGTATTGCTCCCACACTTGATTTGTTCACACCAAGCTGCTTGCCTATTGCAGATTCAGTCTTCCCAGCCTGGTGCAGGTCTACAATTTTGTTTCTGGTGTCCTTCGACAGCTCTTTGGTCTTCACCATAGTGGAGTTTGGAGTGTGACTGTTTGAGGTTGTGGACAGGTGTCTTTTATACTGATAACAAGTTCAAACAGGTGCCATTGATACAGGTAATGAGTGCAGGACAGAGGAGCCTCTTAAAGAAGAAGATACAGATCTGTGAGAGCCAGAAATCTTGCTTGTTTGTAGGTGACCAAATACTTATTTTCCACCATAATTTGCAAATAAATTCTTTCCAAATCAGCCAATGTGATTGTCTGGTTTTGTTTTCTAAATTTTGTCTCTCATAGTTGACGTCTACCTATGATGCCAACTGGCCTCTTCACAAGTGGGAGAACTTGCACAGTTGGTGGCTGACTAAATAATTTTTTGCCCCACTGTATATAAAATCTTGACTGAACCATTGGCATTGGACTAATGGAGATTTTCTTCTTGCATCTTATACACCAGTGATCATGTTGTCTGTAAAGAAAGAATTCTTCCTACTATCCACCATTACACTGAGACACTACTCTGACCATGACTGTAATGGGCATTCTTTCTAATGACCACCAGTGTAAGTGTGCCCTTTGACCAACAACATGGTTTAGCTAATGCACAGTGATCCCTGAGACCTGAACATTATTTCAAAGGTTCCTTCATGATAACAAGGTTGAGAACTGCCTAGATAAACCTTATTCTTTATATGAATTTTACTTGCCTTTCATACCAACGCCTCCAGCTTCTCCTTTCTGTCCGAGGGATCCTGGAATACCAGGACATCCTCTGAGAATGGTCAGTTTATCAGAATCTCCAAGTCCTATGACTTTTACATCTGCAAGTGGGAGGAACAGGACAGAATATTAAAAGGGATTCCTCTTTTGGCAGTAAAGTGAAAATTCAACATTCAGTGGAGAAGAAATGCAAGCAGGACAAGTGTCCCTGGCCCCTTACAAATCAGTTATTCTTAGATCCTTCCAAAGGCTGCTGGACAATTGGGCTGCACAGATATTTTCTTCCCCAGAGTAGCTAAGAGTGCCCTGGCAGCTTTGGAGTGGGTGTAATGGAATAGCTGATTGTTAAGTGTCTAGGAGAAGCAGATTCTGCTATTGACATTTTTGACCGGTAGAATTTGTCCTTCTACATTAGGCCATTGGTTTGTTGGGAGGTTGTTTTATTTCTCCAATGTACAGGCCTTTGCATTCCTCACCCCTCTGCACTGCATATAACAAGTTACTTTGCCTATGTTTTAAGTTTTTTTTCCATGGTTTAAATATTTTTGGTATTCTGATACCATTCTATGGTGTGCCAAAATTTGCACAAAGAATGACAAGAGGTCTTTATTTGTGGACATGTCATGGACGGGGATGAGGGGGCTTCTGCAGTCTATCCCTACTGTGATTGCTGGCAAAAAGCTCCAGGGCAGGAGCTGTGGACAGGTCATTGGGGGTATTGGGAGGGAAAGGGCAGAGAAGGGTAAATTCGCCAACCAGGAGCAGGCATGTGAGCCACTCTGGGTGGAAAGGGAGAAGAATCCTGTTAAGTAGGCCTGTGTTGTGTGCTCCTGGGGGACAGTGAGAGAAAGGTTTTATCTTTGTATTCCAGGTGTGAAGAGGAGATATAGTCAAATGAAGGGCCTGGGGGCGACAAGAAGCCTGGCTAATAAGGGTTGGTGCCAAGTCATTGCAGTCAATTTTATATTTCTAAATGCAGGCCCAGCCCAAGGCCTTGAGTGTATGTATTGTTCAGCCACTTTACATTTGACACCATCAAAACCCTTAGCCTGTGTCTAGTGAAGTTCTTTTGGTCTCCTGTTTCTGTATCTTTGCATGTACCCATATTGTAAAAGATAGAAATGCAGTTTAAAAGGATAGGTGTGCATGCAAGAAAATAAAAATACATATGACGGTAAGTGGTGCAGGTCTCTTTAGCTAAGGCTGATGTCTGAAAAGGGTTATGATTGACTTTACTTTTATAGATTGATGCCGCTGTTCCTTTCTAACTTCCCTCCACCTCCCCAACACATCCAGCATATATTATACTTGCCTACATTGGTCTTTTGACTTCTTCTGGATCAACTGTGGAAAGAGGGTTCTGTATATGGAGCTTTTCTAGCCTGCTGGTTGAACTAGATGGACTTGCTATACTTGGCCAGCTATGTAACTGCTGTCCCAAGATCTTTACCTGGCCGCTGCTCATCCTTTGCCTGAAATCTTGCCAGCTGAACTCATGCATGTGAACATTGGCCTCAAAGAAAGGTCAATGAAAGGTGTTGTGATTTAACATGACTTGGGTGGGGGAAAGGTGGAATAAAATGAATAGGAGGGAGGTGTTATGATCTGGATGCTGAGGTTAGAGGGAGGTTCAGAGAGTTGGTGGAAGGTGCTATGACCTGGGCTGGAGAAGGTGAATGAGATGGTGGGAGGTGCTATGGCCTAGGTGGTGAGGTGGGAAGTAGATTTTGTAGGAGGAAGGTGCTATGACCTAGGCACTGGAAAGGAGATGAAATGGGTGGGAAGGAAGTGCCATGACCTGGGAGTTGAGGTGGGAGGAGGCTCAGTAGTTGGGAAGAAGGTGCTATGACCTGGGCAGTTAGGAACTGTGACTGGGCAGAGAGGAGCATAAGGTGGTAAGGAGGCCCTGTGAGTAGGCAGGGGCAGAGGTTAGGTAGGAGGGGACATCTCATCACTGGGTTGAGGTCGGGCTTAAGGGTAGCCAAAAAAATCCAGGTTACCAGCATTTTCAGAAATAGGACAGCAATAGCAAACATTTTCTCTAGATACAGGTTTCCTTTAAAGCCAAGTTCAGGAAAAAAAAAATGTTTTCTTTTTTTTTAATTTGGATAGAGTGGGAAGGGTCAGACGCTCAGTAATGTTTTTTTTAAGCTGCCTACACCAAATGTTGGGTCTATGTATGAAATTTCACTGAAATATCTCAACCAAAAAAAAAAGAAAATATTGCATTATGGCTACTAGATGGAGCTAATGATCAAAGGAGATAATTACATTACAAACAATACAGCAAATATTTGTGGTGCCCGTGCTACTGGTTAAGACACCTGTACAGTGAATGTTTTTTTACCTATACCCCTTGGTGTTGGTGTCAGAGATAGGCAGTGTGAGATTTCTCATTTCTTTTGTCTTTAGCCATTTCAGAACTTGCCAAGTCTCTACGTACTTTGTCTTATGTATTCCTCTGACTTAATGGGGTTGATTTTTAAAGGTAAATAGGCTGAGCACTTTGCAAGTGCCCTTGCTTCGGGGCTTAGTAGATGAGGTGAAGGCTTCACTTTACGAAGAATACTCAATCACATGCAAGGAGAATTTAAAAAAAAAAAACACCATTTTTGCTTGCACATTGTCACGTACCTGGTTGGGGAGTCTGACGTGGAGAGAGAGGGCATCCTCTTACAACTCCCGCTCGGAGCCCCTGATAGTGGGAACAGAGGGCGCAGAGCCAGGAGTGGCAGGAGTGCCCTGTAGATCTGAAGCTGATGGCAGGTAGCTGGGGACCCAGGAGATCTGGACGCAAGCCAGGTGCGGGTGCAGGAGCGTAGGTGCAGCAGCAAGCAGGTGTGGCGGCAGTCAGGATGCGGATTAGGACCGGGCACCGGTGTGTGGATGCAGTAGCAGACAGATATGGCGGTGACCCGGATGTAGGCCAGATGCAGAACCGTGGGTGCAGCGGCAGGTGAGTATGGTAGACGACAAGATGCAAGCCAGGTGCAGGTGCAGGCAGAATAATGTAGCAGAGTCAGACAAGCCGGGTCAGTATCAAGCGGGCAGATAAAGTACAGAAGGAGCAGGCAAGCAGATGGTCAGGGATAGCCAGGGCCAGTGCAGGCGGATTTCTATCTTAGTCAGGTAATGCAGAATACCGGTATCAGGATCAGGAATATATGCAGGAACGTTGTAGACCAGAAGGCAATGATTTTACTACTAAGCAGGTTTAAATAGCCCATCTGACGTGACGTGTGCGCTACTGCGCATGCGCGAGTTTTCCCACGCTACTGCGCATGCACGGCCGCACGCTCCCACCCCTGCGCACTCGCACCGCTTTGACTCGAGGGGATCCGTCGCCATCGCACCGCTGCACGGCAACAAGATCCCTGAAACACATGACTGGATGATGGAAATCAGCAGAGCTTTGCTCATTTACTAAGCTATAGAGCAGGGGCGGACTGACCATTTGGAAACTCGGGCACTGCCCAAGGGCTCGGAGTCAGTAGGGGGCCCCATGAGATGCCCCTGGTACCCTTTTCATAGGCTTTTTTGAGTTTGGGCAAGGACACAGGGGCCCCATGATCCCCTATTGCCCGGGGCCCCGTGAGTTGTCAGTCCGCCCCTGCTATAGAGCCACTGCACTTACAAAATGCACTCTATTTGCCTTAAGTAAATGAATTCCAATACATAGAATATAGGTGCATGTCTTTGTCAGAATTGTTGGTGTTACCATTTGAATACTTATTAAAAATTATTTTTTGTTTAAAAAAAATCTAGCATGTAATAAGAGAACCCTTAATAATGAGTAACCGATAGTTTGCAAACCCGGGGACTCAAAGATCTTATCTAAAGAGTCCCCAAGCAGGAGGATTTCTAGGTCATTTTAATAGTTCAGGAGCACATAGAGTAAAATGTCAAGGGCCTGGTAGGATACCATGATGACCACAATTGAGCTAAAAACTGTAATGTTATATTATGATGAAAAAATAATAGATGGATCAGAAAAGTACTTAAATGATACATTTCAAAACTGTATAATGCATTGAAATTATCATCTCCATATCTCAAAGGAGACATAGGGCACTCAGTAGGGGATATATGCCTGTGTGCTTCCTATGCAGGTCCCCAATGGAGGTCTATGTACCACTCTCACCAGTTTCAGCAATACCCTATAGACAGTATGTAATTAGTAATAAGAAGCGGCATCATATAGAGGACTTACCTGGACAGGTATCATCGGCGCTACAAACAAAGGACGCTGTCCAGAACGCTAGGAGCCATGGTATCCACATGATTACCTGTGTGATTCTTTCTTCTTCCCTGGACTCAACTGCTCTGAGAACAAACTGAGCAACGTCTGGGAACCTAATTCTATTCTAACCCCTCCTGCTCACACGCCTTCCTTTCCTTCAACACAGCGGGACTGATTCACGAGAAAAGTCAATCAGCACAGCATTGGAGCAGCTGCCCATAGTGACCACTCAGAGTTCTATTATAATTTCTTTGTAACAAACCCAACTGGTCACTTTGGGTGACAAGTTGTTTTTCTTTTCCCCATGTTTTAGTAATCAACCCAACTCAGTCTTTTACATTGCATTTTTAATGCTGAATTTCACCCATCTCCCCTTAAATGATAGTCACTTTTTGGGGGGTGGAGGGGAGCGGGTACTTGGTTTTGATAGATGCCTGCTGCCGAGGCGACCTGAGCAAATGTAACCCCCCCCTCTTCTCTTGCAGCCTTCTAGGACACATCACAGGTCCGAGATGACTGTGAAACCATTCACAAACAGCAGCGTGACTTGTGCATGCGCACTGGGAAACCGGATGTGAAGGCCAGTTTATTTTACTTTAGATGCCAGCGCTAAGGACCCAAAGTCGGATGAAGAATCAGCTTGGGTGTGGACCTTGCTGGATCTCTGGACAGGCAAGTGTCCTTATATTAAAAGTCAGTAGCTACAGTGGCCATATTGCTGACTTTTAATTTTTTGGGGGGAGAATGGAGAACCCAACTCTGGGCACCAAAAAAAAAAAACTACCTTTTTGTAGTAGGTTCCCCCTACACTGTAAGAGGTGAATGCTGCTCAGGTCTAGGGGGTTGAGGAAGAAGCTGTTTT